CTGTCTATGTCCCCTATTTCCTATTTATAGGAAAAGGCTTCAGTCTCTTTGGCCTTCCCTGAGTTCCAGTAAGCAGACTTAAGCAGCTACTAATTAGAGAAGCGAGAGTGCAGAAACTAAGAAAAAGCAGTCAAAAAACAGTAGTTCAGACACAAAACAGAGACCTAGTTCCTCCTCCAGGAATATATATAATAATGTGACACATATCTTTGAGTTGTTCTGCAGAAACTAAGATGCTCACCCAGGTGGAGGATGGTAACCAAACAAGCTGGTAAACCCTAGACAGGTTGGAACCAGAAGATTAATGATTAAAATTCTTGGAACACCATCCTATCCCCTCACCACCAGCCAATCAGAGGAAATTCATGCCCCCTACAACCCTCACCCCAAATGTTGCCTTTAAAAGCCCCTCATCAAAAGCCAGAAGGGAGTTTGGGTCTTTCAAGCATGAGCTGCCCATTCTCCTTGCTTGGTACCCTGTAATAAATGCTGTCTGTGCTTTCCTTCCCCACAATCCAGCATCAGTAGGTTGGCTTTACTGCTCAGCAGGCAAGCAGACCCAAGTTCTCTCCAGAACAAGCCCTGAGCAGAGAAGAGTCCACATTTTATGCTGTCTAAAAGAAAAGATAGTCCATCTGAGGCCTCAAACTCATTGCCATTTGAGCCTGGGATCCAGACAAGGGTGAGAAAATATAGTCATAAATGAAATAATATATCACAATGTCTTGGACCTCAGGGATTTCAGTCAATTAGAAAGGAGGACATTTAGAAAACTGGATCCTAAGGTCTTCAGCAACAGATGCTAGAGTTTATAAGAAATAGAAGACAGTATTGAGAAAGTCAGAGGATTAAACAGCCCTTAATTGCCAGTCCCTTGGTGATCTCCAGGTGAAAAACTTATGACACCCTTTTCTGTGATAGAATACTTCCACACACTTAGTGGCTCAAGGATACCAAACTTAACATTCAAATTTCACAAAACAAGAAGAACCCACTCCAGAATTGGTGAGTATTTGAGAAGTACGGTTCTGATGAGCTCACTACCTCAAGAGTGGTGCATGCAGAAGATCTCCTCTGACAACTTTTTGAACAGTGTCTGTCCGGACAGTGAAAGGGCTTCGGTGACGGTGGATTCATGATGATTTCTACAGGTAGGAAGGGCTGGCAGAATCCCAAAGAGAATGCACCCAGCCCTGGTGGCTCAAATGGTAAAGAATTTGCCTACAATGCAGGAGACCCCAGTTCAATCCCTGGGTCAGGAAGATCCCCTGGAGAAAGGAATGGCAACCCACTTCAGCATCCTTGCCTGGAGAATGCCAAGGACAGAGGAGCCTGGTGAGCTACAGTCCATGGGGTCACAAAGAACTGGGCACAGTTGAGTGACTAACATACACACTCCAGGGAGAGGAGACTCATGGAGTTGGGAGGTCTGCAGGCACTGAGTGTTGTGCTGGGCAATCACCCCCAACCCTATGCTTCTTCTCTTCCCTGGGACTCAGGGGCTCAGCGATGAAAGGACCCCCAACAAGGCATAAGCAGCTACTTAGGAAGCAAAGCCCAACCCTGACCTCCTGTTTCACTCCCCATCTTTGTCACAGGGCTGTGAGTTCCCATCCATCTTGAGATCAGAAGAGGGGAATTTGACAAAGGTAGGGTAGGTGCCTACAGAGGGGGTGAAGACCCTTTTAATGACTTTCAAGCTTGTTAATATTCACCCCAAACCTTAATTATTTTCATGTAAACCACAGGAAGGTTTTAGATAAGAGTAGGTCACTGAAGCAGCTTACATTTACACTCCCAAGCTCCTTTTCTCTGACCTGTTAATTCAGCCTCCTGTCCCCTCTTAGGGCGAGGGAGCAGCCTGTGTGCCAGGAAGGTCATGGGTTGCCTAATGCCTCTGAAACTCAAGTCCTGGGGATCTGGGGTTCTGGGGTGAGTTTGCAGCTGTGGGCTCAGGTCTCCTCAGTGGCTGAATTGCAAATTACAGGAACGCAGCCCATGTAGTAGAAGCTCAACTTTCCAAAGTTTTTCTATTATTTTTTTCCTTCTTTGGTTTCTTTAGGGTGTGGTTTCCATCTTCAAGATGCTTGTAGTATGCTGGGACAGAGAAGACAGCCTCTTGTATCTGTCTCTGGTGCCTTCACTGGGATGTGAGTTCCCGGAGGGCAGAAATCTCTGCCTTGCTCGCTGATATGTGGCCAGCACCTGCGACAGTGTGAGCAGTAACAGATAATCACTTTGCTTTTGTTGAATGAATCTAAGGTGAAGGACAAGGAGACAGAGGAAAGATCTCTAGTGTCACAGAAATTAGCAGGAAGTGATCTTCTGTACCACCAAGATGACAAGGAAAAGGTTTACAAAGAAGATGGTACTTTGCATTCTGTTTTACCAAAAAACTTTTCTTAATATGATACCAAGTTAACTGAATTTACCACTCGCTAGCTAATACTTTCTAGTATTATTTAGAACTGCACATGGAACAACAGATTGGTTCCAAATAGGGAAAGGAGTATGTCAAGGCTGTATATTGTCACCCTGCTTACTTAACTTATATGCAGAGTACATCATGAGAAACATTGGGCTGGATGAAGCACAAGCTGGAATCAAGATTGCTGGGAGAAATATCAATAACCTCACATATGCAGATGACACCACCTTTATGGCAGAAAGTGAAGAAGAACTAAAAAGTCTTTTGATGAAAGTGAAAGAAGAGAGTGAAAAAGTTGGCTTAAAACTCAACATTCAAAAAAGAAGATCATGGCATTCAGTCTCATCACTTCATGGCAAATAGATGGGGAAACAGTGGAAACAGTGAGAGACTTTATTTCCTTGCGCTCCAAAATCACTGCAGATGGAGATTGCAGCCATGAAATTAAAAGATGCTTGCTCCTTGGAAGCAAATTTATGACTAACCTAGACAGCATATTAAAAAGCAGAGACATTACTTTGCCAACAAAGCTCCATCTAGTCAAGCCTATGGTTTTTCCAGTAGTCATGTATGAATGTGAGAGTTAGGCTATAAAGAAAGCTGAGTGCCAAAGAATTGATGCTTTTGAACTGTGGTGTTGGAGAAGACTCTTGAGAGTCTCTTGGACTACCAGGAGATCCAACCAGGCCATCCTAAAGCAAATCAGTCCTGAGTGTTCATTGGAAGGTCTGATGCTGAAACTGAAACTTTAAACTTTGGCCACCTGATGCAAAGAACTGACTCATTGGAAAAGACCCTCATGCTGGGGAAGATTGAAGGTGGGAGGAGAAGGGGACAACAGAGGATGAGATGGTTCTGTGGCATCACCGACTCAATGGACATGAGTTTGAGTAGGCTCTGGGAATTGGTGATTGATAGGGAAACCTGGCGTGCTGCGGTCCATGGGGTCGCAAAGAGTCAGACATGGCTGAGTGACTGAACTGAACTGAACTGAAGTTAATACGTACAGAAAGAAAGAGCAGGGATTTCCCTGATGGTCCAGTGGTTAAGAATCTGCCTGAATGTAGGGGATGTGGGTTTGATCTCTGGTTGGAGAACTAGGATCCCACATGCCTCAGAGCAACGAAGCCTGTTCACAACTGGAGAGTATACCATGAGCTGCAACTAGAGAAGTCCACATGCTGCAACCAAGATCTGATGCAGCCAAATAAATAAATATTTTAAAAAAGAAAGAAAAGAAAAAGCAGTTCATAGCCTTGCCAAATGTGAAGTTTCCAGTTAGCAATGGAATCTGTACTGAAACTCACCCTGTATCTCTTTATTAAAGTGTAATCTCTCTGAAGGCACATTTTACAAAGTGCACGTACATTTTCTTTAACGTTCAATTCCAAGTGCTTTCCATCTGTGCTTGCAGTATGCATTGAAGGAAATTGTGGAGTGGTACATGTTTATAACAATCAAGCATTACTTGTGTCATATTTTTAGTAAGTTAGAGCATGAGGCTGCATGCTTGATTTTGAAATAGAAGGTTGCACGTACTGGGCTACACTAATCATTCAGGAAGGTCTGTGGGTCTCCATCTCGTGCGGAGATGGAGTTCTGATGGAACGATGGAGCGTCTTCCTTGAAGGTCGAAGTGAATCATCTTTGTGTAGCTGCTTGAAGGTGAGAAGATGGGCAAGGTGAATTTTCAGTGTGTGATTCTATAATGCTGCCTGCTTTTGAATCATAACAACCAAGCATGCCACAGATAGTATTTACCAACCACTGTGTGCCTGTCCATGCTATTTATTACAAATGCAGACAATGACTTGTGAGACATGGTCAGTACACTGCCTGTGAGGAGCTGGTGCCCTGCAGGAGCAGGCAGAAGGACAGGTCCTGTGAAGCAGTAAGTGGGAAGGGCCAAGTGCATGTGGGGCCCTTCTCCCACCGTCTCTGCCTTCCCCAGCTCTCCCCTCAGTGAAGCCTTGGTCTGGCCTGGTCTCACAGGCAGGAGTCTACAAGTAGCTCCAGCACAGTTCAGTCCCAGCACATGCAGGGTGCTGGGCAGAGCCCTAGAAGTCTCTGACGCAGTAAATGCCCAACTAGGACTTCTGGATGGGTGCATGCGTGTGTCCAGGTGTGTGAGAATGGGTGGGAGTGGAAGGGGATGCGACAGGAACAGTGCAGCACCAGAGGGGAACGTGAGCACACACACTGCAGTGGTGATGGGAGCTACTGGGGTCAGTCAGGGAAACTTCCTGCAAGAAGGTGGTCTTGACCCCAGTCTTGAGAGTTTGCCAGGTGGGTGGGAGAGGCGTTCCAGGCAGGGTGTCAGCAGCCTGTGTGAACTAGGAGCGGCTGAGAGGCCACTGAGATCCAATGCGGTTGGGGGTGAGTGCGGGCCCAGTGGAGCTGCTGCCATGAAGACTGCCACGAGGCCGTTCCCGGCTGGTGCCGTGCCAGCAGGGAGCCAGTAGGGCATATCTGTGGCCTGGCTGTGTGGGGCTCAAGTCAGTGAATGAACGAGTGAGTCAACGATGTTGTTCCAGGGATGATGCGGGCTCCGCCTCCCGGCTATGAGATGCTCTCAGTTCTCAGCCTGGGCATCCTGGTGACCTGGCTCCACAGCGCCCCCGCCGGCGGGTTTGCGAGTAGTCTCCTGCTCCTTCCCCAAGTCCAGCAGGGGGTCACCTAGCTCCAGGTGGCCAGGTCGGACTGCGCTCTGAATTGCTTGTCCATCCCCGAGCCTGGCCAGGTGAGGTGGAGGGAACGGGACGAGAATGAAGGTTGGGCCATGAGGAGACCCGAAGAACGAGCGGCAGGAGGCAGAGGGAGAGGGCTGGGGTGGGGCTGAGTGGCCATGCAGCAAGTTTGGGGAGTGTGCCCAGCACGGCAGACCTCTGCTAAGCATTAGTTATGCGAATCGATTTGAAGAAATGGGAGCAAAGCACCCTCAAGGACAACAGACTAAGAATAAAAGTACGCTGCGTTCACAGGGAGAGGCGGTGCTCACTGTGCAGCTGATAGAGCCTCTTCGTGTTGTGCATTAAGCTGAGATAAGAAACGCTGGCGCGTGGCCAGCACCTGATGGGTTTGCCCTGCGGCAGAGGTTTTGGCAAAGGGCGGCCTTGGCCTGGTGAAGCCGATGGAGTCCCAAGGGTGAGGCTCGAGCTGCCGTAGAGATCTTGGAGGGCAGACAGCCCTCCTGAGGAAAGATATAAATAGAGGCCAGGAGAAAGAGGTGCAAGTGGTTCAGGCTAGAGAGCTGCTTCTGTGGCTTGGTATTGATCTGGTCTGCTACTGATAAATCCTTCTGCTTAGAAAATAAGCCTGCTTGTCTTCTTGTTGACCTTCTGCCCTCATGTTACCAGAGGGAGTCCCAGCCTTTGCTGTCTGTGGCGATCACTGCCAAGTGCTCTCTGAGCAGCCAGTAGTTTCTGGTGTGCCAGACCCTGGGCATGCCCCCGGGCCCCGTCAGCTCTCGGGCCTGTGTGTGCCATTGGCCTCCAGGATAAATGTTCTCAGCAGGCGCTCAAAACTCTACTTCCATAAATGCACCCCACTCCACCCGTGCCCTGAGCCAGCAGAACTGCTGACTTTTCCAACCTGCCCCATATCTCCGGTCCTCTCAGTTTAGCTCAAGCTCTTCCTGGGCTTGGAAAGTTCCCCCCGACCCTCATCACTGGGTCTACAAATCTCACTACCCCTTCAAAACCCATCTCAATTCAGGCAAACATTCAGAATCTTCCAGAGAGTTCTCCCTAACTCCCAAAGCCTTTAACCAGGAGCAGAGTGGAGGGAAGAGGCCTTGGGACTGACAGTTTCCAACTACAAGTCTGCTTCCATCTCTTTGGGAATCCCCAGGGGACCCAGGGGATGGACTAACAGTAGGTTTGGCTTGGAGGTCAAACAGATAAGGCCTAGAAATCAGCTAAATTGTTGCCAGTTGATCACTAGATTCAGTTTTTTTTGTAAATGCTGAGTCAGAAGAAGAGAGACTACGTGGCTTTAGGGGCACGTTATGTGACAGCTGATGTAGTGGGTTGGTGCACTGTTCTCTATGCAGATAGCACACACACAGAGAACTGTGTATCTAGTTGGCATGACATCCCTGATAAGGAAGGATGGAGACATCTTTGGGGTTAGAAAAGAGTTTCTGTTCCAGACAGTAGATGGCAAGCAATCAGTTCACTTCAGTTCAGTTCAGTCGCTCAGTCATGTCCGACTCTTTGTGACCCCATGAGCTGTAGCACGCCAGGCCTCCCTGTCCAACACCAACTCCCGGAACCTACCAAACTCATGTCCATTGAGTCAGTGATGCCATCCAACCATCTCATCCTCTGTCGTCCCCTTCTCCTCCTGCCCTCAATCTTTCCCAGCATCACAGTCTTTTCCAATGAGTCAACTCTTTGCATCAGGTGGCCAAAGTATTGGAGTTTCAGCTTCAGCATCAGTCCTTCCAATGAACGCCCAGGACTGATCTCCTTTAGGATGGACTGGTTGAATGTCCTTGCAGTCCAAGGGACCCTCAAGAGTCTTCTCCAACACCACAATTCAAAAGCACCAATTCTTCGGCGCTCAGCTTTCTTCACAGTCCAACTCTCACATCCATACATGACCAGTGGAAAAACCATAGCCTTGACTAGACAGACCTTCATTGACAAAGTAATGTCTCTGCTTTTTAATATGCTATCTAGGTTGGTCATAACCTTCCTTCCAAAGAGTAAGCGTATTTTAATTTCATGGCTGCAATCACCATCTGCAGTGATTTTGGAGCCCAGAAAAATAAAGTCAGCCACTGTTTCCACTGTTTCCCCATCTATTTGCCATGAAGTGATGGGACCAGACGCCATGATCTTAGTTTTCTGAATGTTGAGCTTTAAGCCAACTTTTTCACTCTCTTCTTTCACTTTCATCAAGAGGCTCTTTAGTGCTTCACTTTCTGCCATAAGGGTGGTGTCTTCTGCATATCTGAGGTTATTGATATTTCTCCCAGCAATCTTGATTCCAGCTTGTGCTTCATCTAACCCAGCATTTCTCATGATGTACTCTGCATATAAGTTAAATAAGCAGGGTGACAATATACAGGCTTGATGTACTCCTTTTCCTATTTGGAACTAATCTGTTGTTCCATGTTCAGTTCCAACTGTTGCTTCCTGACCTGTATACAGGTTTCTCAAGAGGCAGGTCAGGTGATCTGGTATTCCCATCTCTTGAAGAATTTTCCACTGTTTACTGTGATCCTCAAGGTCAAAGGCTTTGGCACAGTCAATAAAGCAGAAATATATATTTTTGTGGAACTCTCTTGCTTTTTCAATGATCCAACAGATGTTGGCAATTTGACCTCTGGTTCCTCTGCCTTTTCTAAAACCAGCTTGAACACCTGGAAGTTCACGGCTCACATGTTGCTGAAGCCTGGCTTGGAGAAATTTGAGCATTACTTTACTAGCATGTGAGATGAGTGCAACTGTGCAGTAGTTTGAGCATTCTTTGGGATTGCCTTTCTTTGGGATTGGAATGAAAACTGACCTTTTCCAGTCCTGTGGCCATGGCTGACTTTTCCAAATTTGCTGGCATATTGAGTGCAGCACTTTCACAGCATCATCTTTTAGGATTTGAAACAGCTGTACTGGAATTCCATCGCCTCCACTAGCTTTGTTTGTATTGATGCTTCCTAAGGCCCACTTGACTTCACATTCCAGGATTTCTGGCTCTAGGTTAGTGATTATACCATCGTGATTAACTGGGTCATGAAGATCTTTTTTGTACAGTTCTTCTGTGTATTCTTGCCACCTCTTCTTAATCTTTTCTGCTTCTGTCAGGTCCATATTCTGTCCTTTATTGAGCCCATCTTTGCATGAAATATTCCCTTGGTATCTCTAATTTTCTTGAAGAGATCTCTAGTCTTTCCCATTCTATTGTTTTCCTCTATTTCTTTGCATTGATTGCTGAGGAAGGCTTTCTTATCTCACCTTGCTATCCTTTGGAACTCTGCATTCAAATGGTATATCTTTCCTTTTCTCCTTTGCCTTTCACTTCTCTTCTTTTCACAGCTATTTGTAAGGCCTCCTCAGACAACCATTTTGCCTTTTTGCATTTCTTTTTCCTGGGGATGGTCTTGATTCCTGTCTCCTGTACAATGTCATGAACCTCCATCCATAGTTCATCAGGAACCCTATCAATCAGATCCAGTCCCTTAAATCTATTTCTCACTTCTACTGTATAAACATAAGGGATTTGATTTAGGTTATACCTGAATGGTCTAGTGGTTTTCCCCACTTTCTTCAATTTAAGTCTGAATTTGGCAATAAGTAGTTCATGATCTGAGCCACAATTGGCTCCTGGTCTTGTTTTTGCTGACTGTATAGAGCTTCTCCATCTTTGGCTGCAAAGAATATAATCAATCTGATTTTGGTATCGGCCATCTGGTGAGGTCCAAGTGTAGAGTCTTCTCTTGTGTTGTTGGATGAAGGTGTTTGCTATGACCAGTGCGTTCTCTTGGCAAAACTCTATTAGCCTTTGTCCTGCTTCATTCTGTACTCCAAGACCAAATTTCCCTGTTACTCCAGGTGTTTCCTGACTTCCTACTCTGGCAAGCATAGTGACTGCATATTGAAAATTCCTCTGAATTATGGAAGCTCTGATTATTATAAAATAATAGTATTTTCAAAGTATTTGTCATTCCCTCAATGTTCACCTGTGTGGCAGGCACCGAGATGTGCACCCAGACTCTATTTCTGCCTCTCAGATACTGGGGGTTCTGTCAGCAGATACGGTCACCTTTAGGGCTGTCTCCCTGCAGGAGCCGTCTCACCATATCAGGTTCCTTTTTAGCACAGAGGCTGATTTGAGGTATAAAGGCCTGGCCATCTTGGCCCAAGATGTGACGCTTCTGAGGAAGGATGGTTTTCGTTCCAGAATTACCTGTGGGATTGGTTGAGTCTGTTGTTGGGCCTGAATCCAGTTTCCTGCTTCCCTACCCTCTCATCCATAGTGCCAGTACTGAGGCTGTTCCTTAAGACACAGACTGCATGGAGATTTCCACTAGCAGCTGCTTCTTGGGAGATCAACAACAGGCTTCATGCTGGACCAGCACGGTGGATGATTACCAAAGGTTTTAATCTCTACCATACATGTTTGAGAATTGTTTAGAATTTCCCACCAATTCACATAGAGCATATCCCCAGTTCACTGTGAGTATTTAGTAAACAAAAGAATGGACAATTAAGTGGATCTTCAAAACTGGATTAGAAGGCAACATGCTAGTCTAACTTTCCCATGAACACCCTCTTTGCATTGTGTCCACACATATTGGTTGGAGAAAATGACCTTCCCAGATAAAGGATGTGGCTCTTGAGTTAGCATAAATGGAGTCCTTTGGTTAGATTCTGATGTCAGACTCCAAGGCCCACAGCCAGACAGTGGTTGAGTTGAGATGAGAAGGGAGCGTCCTCTTCCCAGGTCAGTCCATCTTCATAACTTCTTTGAATTCATCTTGGGGGCTCTACAAAAATAGCAGAAGTTATATCTGATTTAGTTTGTTGAATCCTATTTCACATAGCCTTGCAAATCAGTGGGGACCCTGGCCTTGGGGTGCAGTGGCAGACATGGGCACCACTGATGTGGCAAATTTCACCTCTTTGGTACAGGGGAGGACCTCTGGCTGAGTCCAAATGCTAGGAGTCCAGGTCTCCTAGCATTCAGATGGTCCTTGAGCTGTTGAAGTGAGAAGATGTGAAGCAGGTGGAACCTATGGGTTCAGCCACTAATTCTTGCAACTTCTAATCCAAAGAACAGGTAAAGATTAAACCTGTTAAACAGGTAAAAAGTAAAGATTAAATGTGTAATTTTAAAAGTTTTATGGAAAAAGACCTGGGCTAATAGTCAGAGCATTTGGGTTCTGAACATATA